AAGGGAGAGTAACCTTGCATGAGAAGGGAGGAAGGGAGAGTAACCTTGCATGAGAAGGGAGGAAGGGAGAGTAACCTTGCGTGAGAAGGGAGGAAGGGAGAGTAACCTTGCGTGAGAAGGGAGGAAGGGAGAGTAACCTTGCATGAGAAGGGAGGAAGGGAGAGTAACCTTGCGTGAGAAGGGAGGAAGGGAGAGTAACCTTGCATGAGAAGGGAGGAAGGGAGAGTAACCTTGCATGAGAAGGGAGGAAGGGAGAGTAACCTTGCGTGAGAAGGGAGGAAGGGAGAGTAACCTTGCATGAGAAGGGAGGAAGGGAGAGTAACCTTGCATGAGAAGGGAGGAAGGGAGGTAACCTTGCGTGAGAAGGGAGGAAGGGAGAGTAACCTTGCGTGAGAAGGGAGGAAGGGAGAGTAAACCTTGCATGAGAAGGGAGGAAGGGAGAGTAACCTTGCATGAGAAGGGAGGAAGGGAGAGTAACCTTGCGTGAGAAGGGAGGAAGGGAGAGTAACCTTGCATGAGAAGGGAGGAAGGGAGAGTAACCTTGCATGAGAAGGGAGGAAGGGAGAGTAACCTTGCGTGAGAAGGGAGGAAGGGAGAGTAACCTTGCGTGAGAAGGGAGGAAGGGAGAGTAACCTTGCGTGAGAAGGGAGGAAGGGAGAGTAACCTTGCGTGAGAAGGGAGGAAGGGAGAGTAACCTTGCATGAGAAGGGAGGAAGGGAGAGTAACCTTGCGTGAGAAGGGAGGAAGGGAGAGTAACCTTGCATGAGAAGGGAGGAAGGGAGAGTAACCTTGCGTGAGAAGGGAGGAAGGGAGAGTAACCTTGCATGAGAAGGGAGGAAGGGAGAGTAACCTTGCATGAGAAGGGAGGAAGGGAGAGTAACCTTGCGTGAGAAGGGAGGAAGGGAGAGTAACCTTGCATGAGAAGGAGGAAGGGAGAGTAACCTTGCATGAGAAGGGAGGAAGGGAGAGTAACCTTGCGTGAGAAGGGAGGAAGGGAGAGTAACCTTGCGTGAGAAGGGAGGAAGGGAGAGTAACCTTGCATGAGAAGGGAGGAAGGGAGAGTAACCTTGCATGAGAAGGGAGGAAGGGAGAGTAACCTTGCGTGAGAAGGGAGGAAGGGAGAGTAACCTTGCGTGAGAAGGGAGGAAGGGAGAGTAACCTTGCATGAGAAGGGAGGAAGGGAGAGTAACCTTGCGTGAGAAGGGAGGAAGGGAGAGTAACCTTGCATGAGAAGGGAGGAAGGGAGAGTAACCTTGCATGAGAAGGGAGGAAGGGAGAGTAACCTTGCGTGAGAAGGGAGGAAGGGAGAGTAACCTTGCATGAGAAGGGAGGAAGGGAGAGTAACCTTGCATGAGAAGGGAGGAAGGGAGAGTAACCTTGCGTGAGAAGGGAGGAAGGGAGAGTAACCTTGCGTGAGAAGGGAGGAAGGGAGAGTAACCTTGCATGAGAAGGGAGGAAGGGAGAGTAACCTTGCATGAGAAGGGAGGAAGGGAGAGTAACCTTGCGTGAGAAGGGAGGAAGGGAGAGTAACCTTGCATGAGAAGGGAGGAAGGGAGAGTAACCTTGCATGAGAAGGGAGGAAGGGAGAGTAACCTTGCGTGAGAAGGGAGGAAGGGAGAGTAACCTTGCGTGAGAAGGGAGGAAGGGAGAGTAACCTTGCGTGAGAAGGAGGAAGGGAGAGTAACCTTGCGTGAGAAGGGAGGAAGGGAGAGTAACCTTGCATGAGAAGGGAGGAAGGGAGAGTAACCTTGCATGAGAAGGGAGGAAGGGAGAGTAACCTTGCGTGAGAAGGGAGGAAGGGAGAGTAACCTTGCGTGAGAAGGGAGGAAGGGAGAGTAACCTTGCATGAGAAGGGAGGAAGGGAGAGTAACCTTGCGTGAGAAGGGAGGAAGGGAGAGTAACCTTGCGTGAGAAGGGAGGAAGGGAGAGTAACCTTGCGTGAGAAGGGAGGAAGGGAGAGTAACCTTGCATGAGAAGGGAGGAAGGGAGAGTAACCTTGCATGAGAAGGGAGGAAGGGAGAGTAACCTTGCGTGAGAAGGGAGGAAGGGAGAGTAACTTTACGTGAGAAGGGAGGAAGGGAGAGTAACCTTGCGTGAGAAGGGAGGAAGGGAGAGTAACCTTGCGTGAGAAGGGAGGAAGGGAGAGTAACCTTGCATGAGAAGGGAGGAAGGGAGAGTAACCTTGCATGAGAAGGGAGGAAGGGAGAGTAACCTTGCGTGAGAAGGGAGGAAGGGAGAGTAACCTTGCATGAGAAGGGAGGAAGGGAGAGTAACCTTGCATGAGAAGGGAGGAAGGGAGAGTAACCTTGCATGAGAAGGGAGGAAGGGAGAGTAACCTTGCGTGAGAAGGGAGGAAGGGAGAGTAACCTTGCATGAGAAGGGAGGAAGGGAGAGTAACCTTGCATGAGAAGGGAGGAAGGGAGAGTAACCTTGCGTGAGAAGGGAGGAAGGGAGAGTAACCTTGCGTGAGAAGGGAGGAAGGGAGAGTAACCTTGCGTGAGAAGGGAGGAAGGGAGAGTAACTTTACGTGAGAAGGGAGGAAGGGAGAGTAACCTTGCGTGAGAAGGGAGGAAGGGAGAGTAACCTTGCGTGAGAAGGGAGGAGGTACCTTGATGGAGGTACCTTGATAGAGGTGCCTTGATGGAGGTGCCTTGATGGAGGTACCTTGATGGAGGTACCTTGATGGAGGTGCCTTGATGGAGGTGCCTTGAGGAAGGTGCCTTGATGGAGGTACCTTGATGGAGGTACCTTGATGGAGGTACCTTGATGGAGGTACCTTGATGGAGGTGCCTTGATGGAGGTGCCTTGATGGAGGTACCTTGATGGAGGTACCTTGATGGAGGTACCTTGATGGAGATACCTTGATAGAGGTACCTTGATGGAGGTACCTTGATGGAGGTGCCTTGATGGAGGTGCCTTGATGGAGGTACCTTGATGGAGGTACCTTGATGGAGGTGCCATGATGGAGGTGCCTTGAAGAAGGTGCCTTGAAGGAGGTGCCGTGATAGAGGTGGATAAAAAGGATCGTGATCCCAGGAACTGTTCTTAACATCCTCTTCCTCGGATCGAACTCCACCCCCCTCCCCACCAGAACCAGACTTGTGTCGACAAATCATCAATTTCAACTTCCTGTCTTTGCGACACAGGAGAATTACTCACCTGATGACCCTCTCAATGTCCCATCCTTCTACATTTGACCATACAAAATTACTCAAAGATTTTCTTTCAAGTTTACTCCATTACTTGCGGCCCAGGAGCATTGCTCAATTCACGGGCCTTTCAATTCCATGTCCTTCCAGAATTAATCTTACAGAATAAATCGTCAAAATATTACAGTGGATAAATTTGACAATTGTGCAACACCTGGGTGTCTTTATTGTGGCGCAACACCTGGGTGTCTATTGTGGCGCAACACCTGGGTGTCTTTATTGTGGCGCAACACCTGGGTGTCTTTATTGTGGCGCAACACCTGGGTGTCTTTATTGTGGCGCAACACCTGGGTGTCTTTATTGTGGCGCAACACCTGGGTGTCTTTATTGTGGCGCAACACCTGGGTGTCTTTATTGTGGCGCAACACCTGGGTGTCTTCATTGTGGCGCAACACCTGGGTGTCTTTATTGTGGCGCAACACCTGGGTGTCTTTATTGTGGCGCAACACCTGGGTGTCTTTATTGTGGCTTCATCAGTACGATACAGAGAAGAAGGTTGAAGATCAGAGAGAGTTTGAGGTAATCAGTTCGTTATCCTGGAGACCATCAATCACCCCATCAATCCTGACGAGAAATTTGCTCACAGTACCCATCAGTTGATGAATAAGACACATGTGTAACACCTGTGTCTCCCAGGTGTTACACATGTGTCTTATTCATGGAAGATTTTTTATTTTATATTCCAGAAGTAAAGAAACTGAAGTTAATAAAGACGTCCTCAACTTTATTTCGAGTTCCATGTTTGAGTAAATTTAATTGAACTCTTCTCAACCCGTTTTTATTCCGTTTCAAACACTGAATACATGGAAACTTTGCGAAGAAGATTTCTTCAGTCTAATTCCAGATTTTTATTCTCCAAAGCTTTACATTAGCCTTTTCCAGTTCACTGGATTATTTTTAGACTTGTTTTGTGTTTCTGGAGGTCAGTCCAGGCATCCTACGTTCACAAACCTCCTTACTTGTGTTTCTGGAGGTCAGTCCAGGCATCCTACGTTCACAAACTTCCTTACTTGTGTTCCTGGAGGTCAGTCCAGGCATCCTACGTTCACAAACCTCCTTGCTTGTGTTCCTGGAGGTCAGTCCAGGCATCCTACGTTCACAAACTTCCTTGCTTGTGTTTCTGGAGGTCAGTCCAGGCATCCTACGTTCACAAACTTCCTTGCTTGTGTTTCTGGAGGTCAGTCCAGGCATCCTACGTTCACAAACCTCATTACTTGTGTTCCTGAAGGTCAGTCCAGGCATCCTACGTTCACAAATCTCATTACTTGTGTTCCTGGAGGTCAGTCCAGGCATCCTACGTTCACAAACCTCCTTACTTGTGTTCCTGGAGGTCAGTCCAGGCATCCTACGTTCACAAACCTCCTTACTTGTGTTCCTGGAGGTCAGTCCAGGTATCCTACGTTCACAAACTTCCTTACTTGTGTTCCTGGAGGTCAGTCCAGGCATCCTACGTTCACAAACCTCCTTACTTGTGTTCCTGGAGGTCAGTCCAGGCATCCTACGTTCACAACCTCCTTACTTGTGTTCCTGGAGGTCAGTCCAGGTATCCTACGTTCACAAACTTCCTTACTTGTGTTCCTGGAGGTCAGTCCAGGCATCCTACGTTCACAAACTTCCTTACTTGTGTTCCTGGAGGTCAGTCCAGCCATCCTACGTTCACAAACTTCCTTACTTGTGTTCCTGGAGGTCAGTCCAGCCATCCTACGTTCACAAACCTCCTTACTTGTGTTCCTGGAGGTCAGTCCAGCCATCCTACGTTCACTAACCTCTCAATTTCCATTCTCCTTCCAGAGTTACGTTCGTCAGGTGAACCAAAGGACAGTGGGTCTGGTCTTCCAGGCTCGAGACGACTACTTCCAGAGAGGAGTCATCACTGTGTCGTGCGTCACCTCTCTGGGTAACAAGCACGTCAAGGCTACCCAGGTCCAACTACCCAACCGCAGCTATCTCAGCGCCCAGGAGTACTACCACAACGCTGGTGAGTGGAGTACACACGAGTACATGAGAGTGCACACGAGTACATGAGAGTACACACGAGTACTTGAGAGTATACAGGAGTACATGAGAGTATACAGGAGCACATGAGAGTATACGGGAGTACACGAGAGTATACAGGAGTACATGAGAGTATACGCGAGTACATGAGAGTATACATGAGTACATGACAGTATACACGAGTACATGAGAGTACACACGAGTTCATGAGAGTATGCAGGAGCACACGAGAGCATACAGGAGTACATGAACGAACTTGGAGTACAAGAAAATTTGTGGAAATGCATGGGAGTACATTGTGTGTGTGTGTGTGTGTGTGTGTGTGTGTGTGTGTGTGTGTGTGTGTGTGGGGTGTGTGTGTGTGTGTGTGTGTGTGTGTGTGTGTGTGTGTGTAAGTGTAGGTCATGTCAATGTACAGTGTGAGAGTACACTGCAGTACCTTTGACACAACGTCAAGTCTATGATCCAGTCTGTGTAAGAGCTCTATCAAGCTCTACCCGGGCGAGTTGACGGCTTGATAGAGCAATGGAGAGGGGGGAGGGGGGTAGTGGGAGAGGGGGGAGGGGGGTAGTGGGAGAGGGGAGGGGGAGGGGGTAGTGGGGGAGGGGGGCCCTCTGGCTAGAAAACAAAGACGAATGGAAATATTTATCGTTTTTTTTTTTTTGGTTCAAGAGATTTCGATTCCCATCATCAGACGAAGGTAAATAAAACACACACACACACACACACACACACACACATACACACACACACACACACACACACACACACTACACACACACACACACACACACACACACACACACACACACACACACACACACACACACACACACATGTGAATGACATGACGGAAGGAATGGACTCAGAAGTGTCCCTGTTTGCAGATGATGTGAAGTTAATGAGGAGAATTAAATCAGACACGGACCAGACAGGTCTACAAAGAGACCTGGACAGGCTGGATGTGTGGCCCAGAAACTGGCTCCTAGAATTTAACCCACCAAATGCAAAGTCATGAAGATCGGAGGAGGGCAAAGAAGACCGCAGACAGAGTATAGGCTAGGTGGCCAAAGGCTGCAAACCTCACTCAAGGAGAAAGACCTAGGAGTGAGTATAATACCGAGTACATCGCCGGAAGCACACATTAACCAGATAACTGCTGCAGCATATGGGCGCCTGGCAAACCTGAGAATAGCGTTCCGGTACCTCAGTAAGGAATCGTTCAAGACTTTATACACTGTGTACGTCAGACCCATACTGGAGTACGCAGCACCAGTTTGGAACCCACACTTGGTCAAACACGTCAAGAAATTAGAGAAAGTGCAAAAGTTTGCAACAAGGCTAGTTCCAGAGGTCAGGGGAATGTCCTATGAAGAAAGGTTAAGGGAAATTGGTCTGACGACACTGGAGGACAGGAGGGTCAGGGGAGACATGATAACGACATACAAAATACTGCGTGGAATAGACAAGGTGGACAGAGACAGGATGTTCCAGAGATGGGACACAGCAACAAGGGGACACAATTGGAAGCTGAAGACTCAGACGAGCCAAAGGGATGTTAGGAAGTATTTCTTCAGCCACAGAGTAGTCAGGAAGTGGAATAGTCTGGCAAGCGATGTAGTGGAGGCAGGAACCATACATAGTTTTAAGGCGAGGTATGATAAAGCTCATGGAGCAGGGGGAGAGAGGACCTAGTAGTGGTCAGTGAAGAGGCGGGGCCAGGAGCTGAGTCTCGACCCCTACAACCACAATCAGGTGAGTACAATTAGGTGAGTACACACACACACTCCACTACTGACCCCCCGAGGATCACCAACCCCCCCAAACCCCCCAACCCCCCAACCCCCCACCTACCCGTCAAGCCATCAATAACCTTCCTAAAAAAAATTAGAAAAAATAGGGGAGGACCCAGCCACTTATTAAGTACTCTGTGAACATCTGTTCAAAATTAAATTCCACCTCTTTATTCAATTAAACCCCCCCTCCCCCTTTTTAATCCCCCTCCCCTTCACCCTCTCCTCCCCTTATTTCACCCATTTTTCATGGGTGACTTTAATAAGTTTGGTGAGGATCATAACAACATTTTCCTATCCCCGTTTTCTTTATTGCTGCTTTACGTTATTCCCCCGTTTTCTACATTACTGTATATAATTATTATTATTATTATTATTATTATTATTATTATTATTATTATTATTATTATTGTAATTATTATTATTATTATTATTATTATTATTATTATTATTATTATTATTATTATTATTATTATTATTATTATTATTACTATTATTATTATCATTATTATTATTATTATTATTATTATTATTATTATTATGATTGTTGTTGTTATTGTAATTGCTATTATTATTATTATTAATTTATGTTATTATTGATATTATTATTATGATTAATCCGTTTTCTATGTTCTCTGGGATGTATTACTCTCCGTTTTCTACATTCCTAGGATATATTACTGACTATTTGACCCACTTGGGTAATAAATTAGTCTCCCCTTTTTTTCCTGCCTTAACCCTAACTCTCGTTTTCTCTATTTTCACAGGTCAGAAGAAAACGGGAAGCGGTTGTCCCCTTGCGGCACTCCTGATTCTCAAATGCTTTTATTACTCCCTTGTTTCTCTGCTCTAAGATTTGTACATGCGGATTTAACGCTCCGATTATTAATAATCCACTCTGTATATGTGTAAATATATGTTTCAATGTATGTCTGGTTTCAATTCTATCCACTGAGGGGTCGTTTAGTTATTTTTTTGAGTGATTTGTGTTATTGTTAATTAGTCTGGACCAGGCTAGTGTGGTGCTGGTGATGTTGGACCAGGCTGAAGTGGTGTTGGACTAGGCTGGAGTGGTGCTGGACCAGGCTGGTGTGATGCTGGACCAGGCTGGCGTGGTCCTGGACCAGGCTGGTGTGGTTCTAGACCCCGCTGGTGTGGTCCTGGACCAGGCTAGTGTAGTGTTGGTGGCCCTGGACAAGGCTGGTGTGGTGCTGGACCAAGCTAGTGTGGTCCTGGGCCAGGCTGGTGTGGTTCTAGACCCCGCTGGTGTGGTCCTGGACCAGTCGAGTGTGGTGACGGTGGTCATGGACCAGGCTTGTGTGGTGCTGTGGTCTTGGACCAGACTAGTGTGGTCCTGGACCAGGCTGGTGTGGTCATGGACCAGGCTAGTGTGATCCTGGACCAGACTGGTGTGATTCTAGACCAGGCTGGTGTGGTCTTGGACCAAGGTAGCGTGGTGCTAGTGGTCTTGGACCAGGCTAGTCTGATGCTGGTGGTTCTGGACCAGGCTAGTGTGGTCCTGGACCAGGCTGGTATAGTTCTAGACCAGGCTGGTGTGATCTTAGACCAGGCTAGTGTGGTGCTGGTGATCCTGGACCAGGTTAGCCTGATGCTAGTGGTCCTGGACCAGGCTAGTGAGGAGTTGGTGGCATTGGACCAGATTAGTGTCGTGCTGTGATCTTGGACCAGGCTAGTGTGGGGCTGGTGGTCCAGGACCAAGCTAGTGTGGTGCTGGTGGTCCAGGACCTGTTAGTCTGATACTGGTGGTCCAGGACCAGGCTAGTCTGATGCTGATGGTCTAGAGCCAGGCTAGTGTGATCCTGGACCGGGATAGTGTGGTGTTGGTGGTCCTGGACCAGACAAGTGTGGTGCTGGTGGTCCAGGACCAAGCTAGTGTGGTGCTGGTGGTCCTGGACCAGACAAGTGTGGTGCTGGTGGTCCTGCACCAGACAAGTGTGGTGCTGGTGGTCCAGGGCCAAGCTAGTGTGGTGCTGGTGGTCCTGGACCAGACAAGTGTGGTGCTGGTGGTCCTGGACCAGACAAGTGTGGTGCTGGTGGTCCTGGACCAGACAAGTGTGGTGCTGGTGGTCCTGGACCAGACAAGTGTGGTGCTGGTGGTCCTGGACCAGGCTAGTGTGGTGCTGGTGGTCCTGGACCAGGCTAGTGTGGTGCTGGTGGTCCTGGACCAGGCTAGTGTGGTGCTGGTGGTCCTGGACCAGGCTAGTGTGGTGCTGGTGGTCCTGGACCAGGCTAGTGTGGTGCTGGTGGTCCTGGACCAGGCTAGTGTGGTGCTGGTGGTCCTGGACCAGGCTAGTGTGGTGCTGGTGGTCCTGGACCAGGCTAGTGTGGTGCTGGTGGTCCTGGACCAGGCTAGTGTGGTGCGGGTGGTCCTGGACAAGGCTAGTGGGGTGCTGGTGGCCGGACCGGGTATTGTGTTTGGTCTGAACCAGGCTAGTGTGGTCTTGGAAAGGGCTTGTCAAGTGCTTGCCGATCACCAGGTTTTTACAAACATACTGGCCAAATTTAAAAAAAATTTTAATATACTCCCGGTTTTAAATTAAAAATGTAAAGCAAAACTGTCGCCAGTATAACGGTGAGAGTATCCCCTTTCTCAGGTTTTACCCCGAAGAATAAACCTCTCATGTTTATATACCCCGAGAGTACCAAAATTCAGTGTACACTCTGTCTAAGCAAAGTTTACCAAGTAAAACAGATTTGATAAAGCTCTAACAGAGTGAAACATGCTTGAAAAGCTCACACGAGTAAAAACAAATTTGAAAAAGCCTACCAGAGTGAAAAAAAGATTTGAAAAAGCCTACACAGATAAAACATGACTTGAAAAAGCTCTACACAGAGTGAACATGATTTGTTAAAGCTCTACACGATAAAAACATGTTTTTGATAAAGCTCTACACAGAGTGAAAAATGATTATAAAGCTCTACCAGAGTGAAACATGACTTGAAAAGCTCTACACAGAGTGAAACTGCTTGATAAAGCCCCTACATAGTGAAAATGATTTGATAAAGCTTAAACGATAAAAACATGACTTGATAAAGCTCTACACAGAGTGAAACATGACTTGATAAAGCTCTACATGTGAAAATTTTTGATAAAGCTCAAAACAGGTGAAACATGACTTGATAAAGCTCTAACAGAGTGAACATACTTGAAAAAAAGCTTACACAGAGTGAAAATGATTGAAAAAGCTCTACTAGTGAAACATGATTTGAAAAAGCTCTAAACAGGTGAAACTGATTTGTTAAAGCTCTAACCAGACGAAACTGATTTGATAAAAGCTCTCACAGAGTAAAATGACTTGATAAAGCCTACATAGTAAAAACATGATTTGAAAAAGCTCTAAACCCGAGTGAAACATGACTTGATAAAGTCCTACCAGAGTAAAACATGCTTTGATAAAGCTCTACACAGTAAAACATATTTGATAAAGTTAAACAGGTGAAACTGACTTGAAAAAGCTCAAAAACAGAGTGAAACATGATTTGATAAAGCTCACACAGAGTGAACATGACAGATAAAGCTTACACAGAGTAAACATGCTTGATAAAGCTCTACACAGTGAAACAGATTTTTTAAAGTTTAACAAGTGAAAAGACTTAAAAACTCTCACAGAGTGAAACTGACTTGAAAAAGCCTACAAGTAAAAACATGATTTGAAAAAGTCTACACAGAGTGAAACATGGTTTAAAAAAGCTCTACACAGAGTGAAACATGATTTGATAAAGCCTACACAGAGGAAACTACTTAAATAAAGCTCTACACAGGGGAAAACTGACTTGAAAAAAATCAAACCCAGAGGAAACATTACTTGTAAAGCCACACGATGAAACTGACTTTTTTAAAGATTACACAGAGTAAAAACATGACTTGTTAAAGCTCTAACGATAAAATGACTTGTTAAAGCTTTTTAAAGAGTGAAACATGACTTTTAAAAGCTTACAGAGAGTAAACATGATTTGAAAAAGCTTACACAAGTGAAAATGACTTGATAAAGCTCTAACAGAGTGAAACAAAACTTGTAAAGCCAACAGGTAAAACAGATTATAAAGCTTTACCAGAGTAAAACATGACTTGTTAAAGCTCAAACCAGAGCGAAGCATGACTTGTTAAACCCTTACACAGAGTGAAACATGATTGTTAAGCTCTACACGGAGTGAAACTGACTTTTTTTAAAAAAACTCTACACAGAGTGAAAATGATTTGAAAAAGCCTCACGAGTGAAACATGACTTGTTAAAGCTCCACAGAGTAAACATGACTTTAAAGCTTACACAAGTGAAACTGACTTGTTAAAGCTCTCCCAAGAGCGAAGCAGAATTGGGGTTAAAGCTCCCCGAGGAAACTACTTTTAAGCTAAAAACAGAGTAAAACATGATTTGTTAAAGCTCACTAGGAAACTGTTTTTGATAAGCCTAAACAGAGTGAAACTGACTTGAAAAAGCTTAAACAGAGGGAAACATACTTTTTAAAAGCTCTACACAGAGTGAAACATGACTTAAAAAGCTCTCCCCCCCCCCCCAGAGTAAAACATGACTTGTTAAAGTCTAAAACAGAGTGAAACATGACTTGATAAAGCTCACAGAGAGTGAAACAGATTGAAAAAGCTCTATCAATTGAAACATGACTTGTTAAATCTACACAAGTGAAACGATTTGAAAAGCTCTACACAGAGTGAAAACATGTTGTTTTAAAGCTCTCACAAGTGAAACTGACTTGATAAGCTTACACGAGTGAAACTGCTTGATAAAGCTCTACAAGAGTGAAACATAAACTTGAAAAAGCTTACAAGTGAAATGTTTTGATAAAGCTCAAACAGAGTGAAACATGACTTGATAAACTCCTACACGAGTGCAGTTGAAAAGCTCTACATAGTGAAACATGATTTTAAAGCTTAAACAGAGTAAAACATGATTTGATAAAGCTCTACAGAGTAAAAAAACATGATTTGAAAAAGCTCTACTAGTGAACAGATTGATAAACTTACACAATGAAACATGATTGATAAAGTTAGAAAGTGAAAAGTGCTACCGTAACCCGTGTCTATTTTTTCCCACTTTTCATGCACATCGCATTTTTTCTCTCTTCTCTCTCTCTTCTCTCTCTTTTCTCTCTCTCTCTCTCTCTCTTCTCTCTTCTCTCTCTCTCTCCCCCTCTCTCTTTTCTCTCCCGTTTTTCCCCATTCTCTTATAAAACTCTACAAAAAACATTTCAGAATTGATTTTCTCTTTTCTTCCCTTTTCCCAAATTCTTTCTATTCCCCACCAGAAGTGATGATAATATTACAGTGGGAAGACAAGAGGCAAATATCGAGGTAAATATCGAAAAGACAATGTTTTCTAATCTGACTTGATTTACTTAAGAAAAAGCCACTCTCGATACTGCCTATCAATGTTTACAACAACCGTGAGGTATTAAACACAGCAGACGTCCACTGAACACACACACACACACAGCAGACACACGGATATACACAGCAGACACACAGATATACACAGGAAACACAGTGTACATGCACACTCTACACATCCTAGACATGTCCTAGACATGCAGGCGGTCGACCAGTCATTAATTGGACACAGGGAGAGAGAGAGAGGGCAGACAGATTGCCCAATTTATTACATCTCCTCCTGTGTCAGCGTGTTGTGTATCCTGCCCACTATGTGTCCGTCTGGGCTTCTCAAATAAACAGCACACCACCTATGTATGTATATATCTATACATACATACATTATATATATATATATATATATATATATATATATATATATATATATATATATATATATATATATATATAGAGAGAGAGAGAGAGAGGAGAGAGAGAGATAAAGGGTACAAATTATCTAACTTGCATATATTAAATCTGAGAGGAACCTGCCTAGCATGAGCCAGGAGTGCTACTGGTGCTGGT